ACTTTTGAAAGCTCCTCCCTAATTACTGCATAGTCAGCTTTAAAATAGTTTAGTCTTGGTTTTTCTCCAACTTTGTCTTCGGTGTAACATACAAATTTAAAAACTAACGATAGATGGTCACTAGGTCCAATACTGCTTTTATATTCCAGACTGTCAATCATATTCTCTTCATTTGTTAGAATGAGGTCTAGAACTGATGGAATGTTCCCCTCCCTGAGTCTTGTAGGATGTAACACATGTTGATATAAAAAGAAATCATGGGTTAGTTCTAGGAATTTTGAAGATACATGTTGTTCGTTGACATCAGTAGTATTTTCCTTCCAGTTGATTTCCTTAAAGTTAAAGTCTCCCAAGATAAGAAGGTGAGAATGAGAGGTTGAATTAGCCTTTCCAAACAGTTCACTGAGCTGAGTGAAGTTCTCTCCATCACAGTTGGGACTCCTATACACGCAACCCAATAGAAGGGAATCAGATTTGTTGAGTGTTATTTTACACCATACAGCTTCTTGGTAGTTCAACTCGTCATCCAAACTGATTACGTCTAAATTGTCCCTTTTATAGATGGCTACACCTCTGCGGAAATCTTTATCTTTGTTGTTGAACTGATTGTATCCTTCGAGATTTAAATTTCTGGCCCAAGGATCGAATAGAGTGTTTTTTGGGAGGATCTCAGTTAATTCAATAATGTCTGGCTTTGATTCTTCGACAATAAGTTTTAGTTCTTCCATCTTTATATGATGTATGTTCAATACACATCAGTGTGTCCAGCATCTGGGCGTATGATGGGCTATTCATATTATGTCTGAATTTTTAACAAAAGAATAATGTCTAAACTTGGAAGCATTTTGTGATGAGTCCAGGATTATCTGCAATAATCCAATGTTCACTCAATTCAGGACCACTACCACCAGATTGGCTCAGAGCAAACGTTTCCTGTATATTCAATCAAGGAGACCGACATGCAGCAGAAAACTACAGGCCAGTAACTGATAACATCAGTACCCTGTAAACTTTTGGAGCACATTACAGCTGCAAACACCTGTTAAACCATAGGTGTTTGAAATTCTGACTGTGAATTGAGATAAAAATCATATAAAAAAAATAAGAACTGTTCTTTTTTTATATAGTAATACCCTTATTTTTTATATGATTTTTATCTCAATTCACAGTCAGAATTTCAAACACCTATGGTTAAACCACCTTGAAACATATAATATACTCACATCTTTAAACCATATATTTCGTTCCGGATTTTCTTGCGAAACCCAACTAGCAGTCACTATGGACGATCTCCTTAAATCATTTAACAATAACAAACAGGTTGATCTTGCAATTCTTGATTTCTCTAAGGCTTTCGCCACAGTCCCTCACCAAAAATAACTACATAAATTGGATAACTATGGCATCAGAGGAAACCTCCACAACTGGCTCTCCAATTTCCTGAAACAAAGACCGATGAGAGAAGCACTAGAGGGAGAAACATCCAGAAAAGTATCTGTTGACTCCGGGGTACCACAAGGGACAGTGCTCGGGCCACTATTATTCCTGTGCCATATAAATGACAACATAGTGACCACCAACTACTACAGGACAACCTAAACAATGTGGAAAAATGGGCTAATCAGTGGGGAATGAAATTCAACACCAAAAAATGCTACGTAATGAAATCCAAGATTCTACACCTTAAATAGACATATCCTAGAATAAGTGAAAAATAACCCCTACCTTGGACTAACGTTTTCAGACGACCTCAAGTGGAACACCCACATAATAAAAATATCAAGAAAAGCCATCTCGACCCTTGGCTTTCTCAAAAAAAATCTAAAGCTTTGCCCATCGTCTTGTAAGTAAACCGTATATATATCCCTAGTATGATCTATCCTTGAATATGGTGCCATTATTTGGGACCCATTTACCAAAAAAAAATTGACAAACTGGAAAGAATACAGCGCTTGGCAGCCATGTTCATTACAACTGACTATAAGTCCAGGGAAGATTGGTGTGTCACAAGGATGCTGGAACTACCAACACTCCAGGTCAGGCAAGCACAACAGAGGGTCACATTCATATATAAAGTGGTTGAGGGGTTGATACCAGCTATACCTACAGCTTATCACCTAATAAAAACAAGACCAAAAAGGAACATCAAAGCCAGACATTTTTCGGACTATATATAAAAAAAAATGGTAGAAACATCAGTGATAAACAACTCTAAATCCTTCACAGTACCAAAGTACAACTGTGAACAATACAAGAACTCAATTTTTGTATGTACAGTCATAGAGTGGAACCATCTGGAAGAGGATTTAGTATGTGCCCCTACTTTGGAGGCTTTAAGAGTTCTATAACGCACCAAAAATCTAATTGAACTGCTCTCTCTCTCTTTCCCATTGTATAAAAACAGTAACCGGGATCTACAACGTACGAAAAAATATTGTCAATAACTTTAGAGAAGGCGCTAATCAGCAAGTATGTCTACTTCTTGTAGTCCAGTTTAATCCCAGTGATTACACAGTGATGACCTGATGATCAGACTGGCATAAACTTCTGGACCGTTTGTATGTGTATGACGGCAGTGTTTATTCCCAGAAACCCTTAAATGTGCTGGGATTTGTTCAATCTGATTAAAACCAGATCTTTAATTCCATTCCAATACTCTACCTCTACCTCACAGTCTGGAATGCAGAGCATTGGAGTGGAATTTAAGATTTGGTTTTAATCAGATTGGGATTTGTTTTTAAAACCTGAACTGCTGTATGCCTAATTGTTTTCATGGGCTTTTATATGTAACCAAGGACCTGGATGAATGAAATCTAAAAAATGTATCGGACATAAATATAAATGTCACCCTTATAAAATACTAGCCGCTTCCTTCCGACTGGGCTAGGGAGAATTTCTCTTTAGCTCATTCGGTAGAGCATAAGAATAGTAAGCCAGAGAGTCCCAGGTTCGAACCCCGTTCTGGCCATGCATTTTTCCGCTCCTTTCACATTTGGCGCCCAACAAAATATACCTATGTGTCTTCGGGTCAAAGTCTTTGTTAAAGGAAGGAGGATTGTAGCAGAACTGGATTGTGTGGACCGGCAGCAATCAGGTAGCTCAGTTGGTTTGAGCATCTGTCTAGAGTTTGGAGAGTCCTGGGTTTGAGCATCTGTCTAGAGTTTGGAGAGTCCTGGGTTTGAGCATCTGTCTAGAGTTTGGAGAGTCCTGGGTTTGAGCATCTGTCTAGAGTTTGGAGAGTCCTGGGTTTGAGCATCTGTCTAGAGTTTGGAGGTCCTGGGTTCAAAACCTCAGTCTGGCTGTGCATTTCTCTTTTTTCTGTTACATAAAATTCAGTAGAAACAGTGGTAGGAAGTTATCAAATAAAATAGGTGTGAATTATTAAATCAACAGGCAGACATATATGAATGACATTTTGTGTAGCTATCATCGTATAGGATACCCACGGCTGATTTAGCTTTGTGATGAGCGAGTACCATAGCGAAATCAGCCGTGGATATCCGACGATGGTGTACTATTTAACGATCAAATAAATTTTGAATGTTTTCAAATCACAGGAAACCTTAAGTTTTAATCAAACAGTTACAAAATTCCTTCATTGGATGTACAATAAGTGTTACCTAAAACACTTCTACTACACATGTACAATGTATTTAGTGTAAATAATATATATTAACATCATTATAACAACTGCTTCAGGTTAAACATTGTGAAACCAACTCATTCCATATCCACTAATACAAGATCTTGTTTGCATGATAAAGTAAAACTAACTTTTATTAAACATTAAGATTAGGTTAACATTGACAATACTTAGGAACTTGAAATATCTTTTCTGTTTTAGAATTAATGATATTTTCCCCTGAAACTGAATATTGAATCAAGCTTTTAAAGCCCAGCAACACATGTATTTGGATTTTTTACCCTGCATCCACAAATTAATTTGGTTGATGTACCTAACAGTATTTTATATCACTTTCAGTTGCATGGTGTACCATTATTTTTGGCAAGTGATGTTTTGTGTGGCTGCTCCCAAATGCCAAAAAACTTTACCAGGATCCATGCTCGGTATTCCAAAGATGGGATGGCAACAAAACTGTTATTGAAAGGTACACAGTATACACTTTTTTTGTATTATTTTTATTTTTCAAAGGTATTTCTGGTACAATATGCATAAATATATCCACTTTTTTGTTCATACTCCCTTACATCCATACACACGCTCACTACATTCACATATACTCACTCATCATTTCATAATGTTTTGTTATCATCATCATCACCCCAATATCTTTATCATGACATTGACATCCTCCTCATCGTTATCATCCTGTCATCAGTAAAATTATTATCATACTGATTTCATCGTCATGACACTCCAAACATCATCATCATCCTCATGACATTAAACACTGAAATCATCATCATTATCATCATCATTATCATCATCATTATCATCATCATTATCATCATTATCATCATCATTATCATCATCATCATCATCATCATCATTTTCAACATCATCATAATCATCCCAATGATATATATCCATCATGACACAAAATCATCATCCAATTGACATAAACTTTTTCATTATTATTATTATTATCATCATCACGACTAAAATCATCCTCATTCTCACAAAGATATCGATCATAATCACACTTGTCATCATCATCAAACTAATACCATCATCATTACTCACACAGTATACACTTGATCATCAAAGGTATTCATTTGACTATCAATGATGAATAATCATTACTGTATTCAAAATAATGGAATTAAAAAGAAGATATGTTTAATAACATGTTACTAAGTTAATAATTTAATAAAGTTAAGTTAACAAATAAGAAATGAAGTAACAAACAAGTTCCTGAGTCAAGAAACTAAAGTTACACCCACATAACATAGGCTTAAGTAACTTAACACCCATCTAAATAAACTTGGAACAATGTTGAAAACAACCAAGTTACTAAAACAAAAACAGCCAAATGAAGTTACTATTAGCTGAACTAGCAAATTAACTAAGTTGAAAACCATGTTTCTCAGTTTAACACCAATGATGAACTACATTACTTTAAAACTGTGTAGCAATTAGCATGCCACTAAGTAACTGTGTTAAAAAAAACTGTTGCTAAGTTAAACAACCAATTAATTAAGTCGCACAACAAGTAACTTATCTCCACCAATTAACTATATTAAATGAACAAATAAGTATGTTGGACAATGAAGTTGCTGTAATAAATTAACAAACTAGTAACTAAATCACCAGCCAGGTGAAAGACCAGCAATTCAACCAAATAGATTAGTAAATGACAAATGATCAATTTAACAAACAAATGACTTAGTCTCCCATGTTTCCTCCCACAGACTTCCGTGTACTTGGAGTGAGTCACAGCACTACGGTATGGTTCTACAACATCCGCGGTGTGTTCCAGGTGGTGTTTGAATACCAGGAAAAAAGTGTACAAAGAGACTGCCTGTCAAAACTTAAGGTATTCATCTTCATTCTTAAATTAAATTGTGGAATGTCAAAAATCCATCATCCTTTGTTATCTAGCCACCTTTGTTCCCTTTGTATAATCCAGCCACATTAATTGTGTTCCCAGTGAAAAAATTGAGCAACATCTGTTCCCAATAAAAACAATCAAGACGCCTTTGCTCCCAGTAGACATTTCAGCTATAACCTTGGTTCCTATCAAATGTTTTATTAATTTCAGGGGCCTCACCATTTAAAAAAATACTGTTTACCCTATATAACAAATATCATGAATGACTGTGCAGAAGTTAGAAATGATAAGCTCTGTCAAACACATGTATTCCTAGTGGAGCAAACACATTTTTGTGAAAATGGAAATTAAAGTACTTATATTTTTCATATGTATTGCTCTTAGCTGGGACACCCTGCCTTGTACTTTTTCAAGGTTCCCCATGTAACTCTTTCCTTTGCTCATAATATGCCCTAGTTTTATTGATTTTGAGTTTGAGTTTGGTTGTGTTGACCCTTCAGTATTCTATTGTTTTTTCTTCTATAATAAATGGGCTAGCATTACGGGCAACTCCAAGTAAGAAAAATGCTGAAGGAATTGGAACTCTACTTTGTTTGAAATACAGCACAGAGCACTGGGACACTCTACCTTCAATCATTAGTAATAAGTCCAATTTTTGTTGTTGTTTATATAATGTACCATTGAGGTTTTTTACTTTTCTTTCATTGCAGGATATTTGGCTCTGTAGATATCACGACGACAATCTTCCAGATAGTCTCAGTGTTACACTGAACATTCATGTTCTCCACAACAATCCTAGCTCTGTTGTACAGGAGGACCACAAATTGTTGCCAAATATGGGTAGTGAACATTCGCACCGCCTAGATGAAGAACAGGAGTTGTTTCCCTTGACAGATGGAGAGGTTGTCATAGAGCTGGTTAAGCACAACAGGAACAGTTGTAGTGGTCTTCATTCAAGGGATGAAAACACAATCCCTGATAACTCTGTGGCAAAACATGACCAAATTAATGGGAATTTACTGCTGGATAATGTTGTAAATGGTTTGCACACAACCAACACTCAAGAGAATACCAATGTGACAGTAGGACAGACACCCCTTGCAACTAACAATGTCCTTAGTCACGATTCTAAAAGTGAGGACAATATACAGGTGTTGGAAGGAAAAGAACTCCTAACAGCTGACAAAGTCCATCCCTGCAATTCTTTCAAAACTAGAGAAGAGGGTGCACAGGAGATCGGAGGACAGAATCGCCTTGTAGACGACAGTGTTCACCTCTGTCACTCATGTGGCTTGATAAACTGTCCATCATTTCAATCAACAGTGAATGAAGATGGTGAAACAATTTGGGGAACATGTCAAACATCTGGGTTGGAAAGGAGCTTACTGCACAAGCCACTCTGCTGTAGTAAGGCAACACAGATCGACACAGTGCCCCGGACTGTTACAAAGGTTTCTGTGGGTGTTCAGACTGATCAATATGTCTCAATAGTTCAAGACTATCTGAAAACTAATTCTAAAGCTGCAACACTTAGAAACTCCTCCCCTCAGACAGATATCACCATGGAAACATTGGCTGTTCTTACTCCCTCCTGTTTATTTTGTACAAAAGATGGAACAAAGTTTCATGGAAAATGCTCCAAAACAAACTGTCAGGAAAAACCTTATTCAAAACAGTGTTCAAGAACAGATGTGATGAAGGAATGTGTTCGTGTTCTAGAGACTTTAATAAAATACCTTGTTCAAATGCAACCTGATTACCACAATCTTGACCTCTTTCCTGTTGTAAAAAGGTTTCGTATTGTACTCCAATTATTAATGCAAGAAATACATCTGGAGGAAAATCAAGGATTTCCATTTCAGTTAATTCAAGAGTACCTAGATATGTTAGGGACAGGGGGAAGCACCCACAATGCATATGACACCTGGGGAAATTCCTCACAAAGGAACACGTTTTTACACATTGTCAGTCAGTGGTTGGGTCAAGAATTCCACAAGTTTGAGCCTAAGATTTCTCAAAGGGTGGAGGACTTCAAACAAGGGCATATAAACTGTATTGACAACTTGCCTCCAGCTGAGAGCATCATTGACCTTGTGTTCCCCAGTTGTATGAAGGAGCTGGTTGTGAGCTGGACTAGCAGAGCTTCCCCGCGTGGACATAGGGGTAGTGATCACGACTATAGTCCTCCGGTAAAGAAGATTTGCACAAGTGACAGTTCATCACCAGCCTACCCTCTGGTGCAGCATATACTGGAGTTTGCTAACCATGCCTTGGTGTCTGGGGTGGCTCATGTCGTCTACTCCAGGCTTCGACATTCTACATAGCATTATGCAATCCATCAAAACATCCTACATAATGTAACCCTTGATTAAGACTAAGAATTATTTGCTATCTGTGATTATCATATTTTTGTACACTACCAAAGACAACATGTCACAATCAATGTGCTGCAAGAAAAAATTGAATATTAAAATTATGTAAATGTCTGTCAAATTAAATTAACTACCAATATTACAGCTGTTGTCTTTTGTCATATCATCTCATTTTTCCTAGATTAAGTGATCTCGTAAAATGTACCATGAAAGATGATCATTTGATTGTTAAGTATTTTGCCAAATGTATTTCTATTCAATACTTCGAAATTTCCTATATACAATTCTTTTTCTCTTATTCAGCACCAAAAAAAATCAACATTTCGTAATCAAGATAATTAAGTTAGCAACAAAGACAATAACAATTGTGGTATGTTTTCTTTCCATCTTTATTACAAAAGGTCAATATTTACGAAGCACCATTGTTACATAATGCCAGAAACTGGGGCTGTCCTAGATAGGGAACTGTGCACTACGGACACAAACGCTCGCACACATTTAACTAGCATCCATTCCAAATATTCTTCAAGCACTGCTACAAAAACTCAAAGAGGATTCATACAGCTTCTTTCATTCCAAATCCACTTTATACAAGTAGCATAACTATCAAAGCTATACAAAAACACCTTACACACCTGACATATCTATTATTGTGTATACTACTATACTAGGCTAGTGCTTGTACACATTCATCACACAACTATTATTTCATGTTCCACTCCAAACTAGTCCAGTGTTATGTCTCTCAGTCTACAATAACTAATATTGTTGGCATCTTCCACAGAAAACGTTTAAACGAGTATTCCTTAACAATAAACAATTATTTCTATTTTGTTAAGTTCAGTACATTAAGTAGTATTTCTATGTAAACATGTATGTGTACAGCTGGTACAAAAAATCTACACTGTAGGAGAGAGCAACATTTTATATAGCTGAGGGCCATCAAAAAGCTTAATCGCTTAAGTTTAGTTTGGTCCACACTATCTCTAGTATGCTTGATCTGTTCACAGAGTTAGATGCTTGTTGTAACAGAGAGAAGTTAAGGATTCCTTTACCACTGCCAAAAACTGTAACCATTCATTGTATATTGTATTAATTGTTTCTGAAAAGAAAACCATACCTTTTATGAAAAAGTTAAAAGATACAACAGGAGTTGAACCCTAGACTTCCGGGTCCATATTCATGAAATTGTTCCCATGCTCAAGCCTTATTTCTTGTTCCGTTTACAAATTAATAATGAAATAATATTTTGTCAATGATTTGGAAAATAATTTTGAAGATACTTAAAGCCAATACTGTTTTCAATGTTTACATTTGACTTGACCAAGCAAACGAACAGGTGCCATGTAAACAGAAGTTTCATGGCCCTGTAGTGCTTAAGTTATATATTTACCGTTTATAGGAAAAAACTACTATGGAGTTCTCTTACATTTTGCATGCAGTGGGAGAAGAATCCTTAAGTCTCTCTGTTGTAAAGAAATGTTTTATTGTATTCAGCTTCATAGCCCTTGTGCAACTGCATGTTTCTCTAAGTTATATAAATACTGTATTCAGCCCAATAATCAACTTGGGTGTTTAGTAATATCAGAATGGTTGCTAAACCTTTCAAACTTCTGTAAGTTGGCGAATTATGGAGATGACATGGGACACTCTCCCCAGAAAAAAGGACAGAGTGTTCACTAGTTTTAGTGCAGTAGTTATATGTATTGGGCTATGTATAAGTACAACTAAGTGCCCATATCATCAGGTATGTGATGGAAATAATGGATAAGTGTTATCTCTGTGAGGTGAAAATGGCAAGCAGTTTGTGTATCAGTTATACAGTGTACAATATATATCGGATGTTTGAAACACAACACAAAAGAGACAGCCTTTTTACTGATAACCACAACAGCATTCATACAAAATACATAAGATATTCAGACACACTTGTATGACATAAAGACTTATTCAGACATACTAAATCAACTCTTCATTAATCATGCTGTCCTCTTACATTTGAAAATATAACTGAGAAAGTACCTGTCAATGGATGCATTAATCTACCAAAGATCAAAAACCCTGTATGTCAAAAAGACTGCAGAAAATATATTGATTCATATGAAATGTACCAGGAATCACATTTAACACAAGAATGACACTGTTGATGAACACACAACATCAATGACAGGCAGGGAAACCTCAGTAAAAGCCTATTTCCAGGCGGGGAAGACAATGGGTACATGATCAAAACAGTAAAAAAAAACACGAATATTTACAGCAACAAAGTCTACATTGTCAGTTTATGATAAAATATAAACTTAACTGTAGTAAAAGTATACCCTGACCCTGTTCTTCTTAAGTGCCATCATCTCAAATTTTCTAAATGCAATATTTCACAACTATCTTAAACTGTATTGAAGTGTTTTCAAGTCTTTTTACTAACAATTTTCACTATAATTTTCCATAGTCATGAAAATATTATGGCAATAGTCAGCATTTTAGTTTTGGTCAGGTACGTCTGGACCGCTCAATCCTGAGGTCAGCCTCGGCCCAGATCTGTACCTGTCGTTTCTTTACAGTTTCAACCGGTTCAACCATTTCAACCGGATATGCGAATGTACCCTAGTACTACTTAAACAACTGGGTCCTAGTAATCGACATCTCCTTCAAGATTCATGAACACAGTCTTAGAGATAACAACGACAAAATGTGAATACATCTGGGTGAACACAAGTGAAAAATATTTTAAACATTCTGTTCTTTTTTCCCTAGTTCTAGTATCTATGACTAGACTAAAATGTCTTCATTTGAACGATGTATACATTCCATGAAAAATATTTTAAACATTCTGTTCTTTTTTCCCTAGTTCTAGTATCTATGACTAGACTAAAATGTCTTCATTTGAACGATGTATACATTCCATGAAAAATATTTTAAACATTCTGTTCTTTTTTCCCTAGTTCTAGTATCTATGACTAGACTAAAATGTCTTCATTTGAACGATGTATACATTCCATGAAAAATATTTTAAACATTCTGTTCTTTTTTCCCTAGTTCTAGTATCTATGACTAGACTAAAATGTCTTCATTTGAACGATGTATACATTCCATGAACGACATTATTTTTACAGGAAACTAGAACACAACTAATCGCAATAAACTGAACAAAGCTATACAGAGCTGCACTGTAACATGAAATTTTCTTGCTCATATATCCTAAATGATTCATCTCATGTACAAGTTGTAAAGTCTTGGTGAACTCAAACTGGATGAAAATAAGATATGCTATATATATCAAAAGACGGATACATGTACACTATATATATATCAAATGTATGTCTTGGTTACCTCTACCATTCATGTGAAAAATAGGACATCTCTGCTATCTACCATATTGGAATGTATACAAGTGAATGCTTTAACTAGATAGAGCTACACCACAGAACATCAAACCCAGCGTGTTAAGTTATAAATACAAATAATTCCGACATGGCTGGGAGCATTAAAAGGCAATCAAAACGAACCATGTCTGATAACCTCATAACACATATAGAAGGTGTTTGAAGCTAAATATTGGTTTAAGGTGCTTTTTAAGTATATTAAAGTAACATTATTTTCCTCCTGTTAAAATTGTCAATACATACACTGATGCAGATATGTGAACCTACCCTCAGTACATGTTACCAGCAAAATTTACATAGAGAGATGTAAAATTGACACTCGTGAATACATATCGTGAATACATATCATGCTTGAACTTAAACAATATGACATTAAATAGGGAAAAGTGTTGCAAATAAAAAGTTTGTAACACTTTGAAAGGTCATGATCTCACACAATGGAGAACCATATAATTTAGACAACAATAAAGCGTTCATTTCAACTGAATCCTGATACAGGAACAATGAAAGTATAGATGGTAGACTGCCAAGCAGCCCAGCTGTGAAAATAGGTAAACTCATGATAAAGTTTACTAGTAAGTATCTACTTACCCAATTAGTCCTTTGGACTTGTGAAAAATATCTTATCAGAATATCATTGACTGATAGATTGACCAAAAACAATATCCCTTTCTAAACAGCTGAAAATACATGAAATTTGTTTACCACAATGACCCAGGGCTTTGCCATGCTTAACTACAGTAAGAGTTTTTGGTGTCCCCTACAGCCCTCTCTCTTTCTAGCTTAAAAATACTTTCATCACTAAAATCTCTATTAACACCGAGAACTAATAAATATTCTATTCAACTAGTCCTTTGGACACCCAAACAAAACCGTCCAACCCTGTTATATACCTGATACCATTCATGCCTCTGTTTAAATGATCACCACATGTAGCACTGTATGAAATTAGATGTTGTTGGGTATTTGTCAACTGTATTTTCCATAGAATGGATGAAGTTACATCATAAATTAGTGAAAAGTTTTAATATAACCGCCACATGAAATATCATACTTTTAAGTTCGAAATTAAAAAGATGGTGCAAATAAATAAATCTTACACAGTACAAAACAAGAGGGATCAATACTTTTACAATAGTCTTTGTGGATTACATATTCCTTCTGGGCACTGGGCACCTTGTGGAGAAACAATAATGTTGTGGCATCGGTAGCCTTAACATTCCTTCTGGGCACTGGGCACCTTGTGGAGAAACAGAATAAGGTTGTGGCATCGGTAGCCTTAACATTCCTTCATGGGCATTATGCTGTTTGTGGAGAAACAGAATAACAGCGTGGTGTCTAGATCGTCACCCTCCAGTTTAGATGTAACAGCACCAACGTAAAGTGTATCTTAGGGATCATCAAATCCTTCCTCTTGTAGAATGGCTTGTCGTGATGCCTTTATGATCGCTCTGACACGGTTCAACATGTACTTGAAACAGAAGAGACACACTTTGGTAGAAAATTGGTAAGAATGAAATGTAGTGTGCCAACACAGGGTGCAGTAGACACTTATCTGACCCTTCAGGAAGTAGACACTTATCTGACCATTCAGGAAGTAGACACTTATCTGACCCTTCAGAAGGCGGCCACTACCCGGGACACATAACAAGGGAGTAGGTCACATTTACAGTTAACCATGATATATACACCTTATTAGAAACAAGATTAGGGCAATGTCGAAAGAACCCTTTTGAAAATCAAATTGAGAGTTGTCTTTTCATTCAAATGTGTACCTATAAATATTATTACAATAATAAACCAACATTCATTGTCCAGCTTACAACCTGGCAGATATATATAAAAAAAAATATTAACATTAACATTAACAAAATATAATCATTAAATATCCAAATTTATTTGATTAAACAGATTTAAATTTGTGTCTTGTTGAAGCTTTTTTGATAAGTGGATTATTATAAAAGCTTACATTGGATACAGTCTTCTCCTCGCCCTTGGAATCTCCTGGTAAACTACAGCTGTTACTATCAGAGTCCGGTGGTAATGGAGGTAGTGGAGGGAGGGGTGCCCTCGAGTCTGACGGGGGCTCTGGGGGCAGACAGTCAGGCAAGGGGGGTCTGTAAATATGTGCATGAATTTCATAATATTTAATTGGTTTATTATTTCTTTCATGTTGATTATATTCTTTATAGATAATTTACAAACAGAATATATATTTTTTATTTCTTAACAATAATGTCAGTAAATCGACCATCTGCAAACATAGCCATTGTTGATGTTCAGCCAGTGACTACAGCTGGACTGAAATATTCAGAGACCATATAATAGTCAAATAATTTTACATTTTTGTTCCTTTTTTTAAAATTTCAATAATATTTGAAAGATTAATTTGATGAATATTTAAAAAGAGAACCATGATGAATACAACAATCATTTAACAGAGTGCTTTTACATTAGGAAGAAGAGAAATTCTAAACACAAGTTGTCATACAAGCCCATCACATTGTCAAATTACTGATAAACCGCTAAAGCTGCTCTACCCTGTCAATCCAGCAAGGGTTTACCAAGACTACTCACAAGTTAGAAAAGTCTGTATATGAGTATGTTTTGGCCTTGTCTATGTTGTCTGTGATATCTGTAGCTGACTGTAACAACCCTGGTTCCTGTTTAATGGTTAGATCACAGATCTGGACGGGACCAATCACATCTCCCACTCTCTTACTGCTTGATGACTTGTGACGCGGAGACCTGTAATTAACAACCATCAGGTGTCAGACTGTGTGTCCCTGCTGGAAAACACTGAATCTATTGGTATCTTAATGTAATAACAAAGTGATTCTGATAGACACATTTTCCTAAAAATTGCAAAAGTGTGTAAAATTAAATGTAGTCTCAGTTAACTTCAAATTTGTAACCATTTAACATACTTAACAGTGGTGGGTTAACTTCAAATCTGTAAACATTTAACATACTAAACAGTTTCAATATTCAAGGAGGAGTTGAAAAACTACCGCCCAGTTTCAAATCTGCCTTTTCTGTCTAAGATCTTGGAGAAGGTTGTGTCCCGGCGTTTTGAAGTTCATCTCCATGCAAACAGTCTTCATGACAACATGCAATCAGCCTACCGCATGGGACACTCTACTGAGACGGCCCTCCTACGTGAACATAGTGATATAGCTTCTGCATTGGATAACAAGTGCAGAGCGGTGCTTGTCATGCTGGACTTGTCAGCTGCATTTGACATCATCGACCATGGCATACTTTATAAACGTATGGAATAATGGAGTGACCGATACTGCACTATGCTGGATACAGTCATACCTGAGTGAACGAGGACAGTGTGTTGCCATCGGATCTGCCACCTCACATGACAAAGTACTAGATTTTGGGGTTCCTCGAGGGTCGGTGTTAGGACCACGAAAATATTGTATGTACTCCAAACCGATTGGAGAGATTTGTCGTCGCCATAGCCTTCGCTATCATTGCTATGCTGATGACACACAAATTTACATGGTCATAAAACCACAGGACAGTTGGAATACAGTCTCAGAAAGTCTGGAAGCTTGTCTGACAGATATCAGTATCTGGATGAACGC